TTTTTGTATTTTTTTGTAGAGACAGGGTTTTTCTATGTTGCCCAGGCTGGTGTCAAACTCCTGGACTCAAGCAATTCTCCTTCCTCAGCCTCCCAGCGTGCTGGGATTGCATGGGTGAGCCACTGCACCTGGCCTTATTTGTGATATTTTTATTATGTAATAAAACACCTATTGATTTGGGCCTTTTTCTTAAAACAAAACAAAATAATTATTCTTTACAACTATCACCCAAAATGTAATTGTTTTATAAAATAAGCCCTTGTAATTAGAAAACTGGGTATACAGATGAGGGGTATATTTTGCCATTAAATTATCCTATAGAAGGTAACTATTGATATTTCTCTCTGTCCATAGAAGCTGGAAGTAGTTGTTGCCCTGGATCTTCTCCATGTGTCCTTTCAGATCCACTCTCCATCTTTCTGTATCCTATTCTGTGTTCCAGGAAGCTGTTCTGTCTGTACTGAATCAACCCTTACTCTAACTTCCAGTTGGGTGTAGCCAATGAAAGAAATGGTAATCAAAGGTAGGAGGAGAGGGAAAACAGGCTGCAGTTTGGCAGAGGCTGCATTTCTCTGTGGAAGGTCACAGGTCCTGTCAAGTTTGACCCACAGTTCTTGCTGGTTTTTGAAGAAAATTATTCCTTCCTCTTACCCCTTCAGAATGATAACTGCTTCTTGTTGTTGCTAGCCCTTGGTCCCTCACTATCCCCTGGTGGTTTTCCTTAACCTTTCACATACCTGGCTAATTATCCCTTCATTCAACCTACATCCAACTCTCTTTTTCTTTCTTGCTTGCTTTTTTCTTTGTTTCTTTCTTTCTCTTTTCTTTCTTTCCCTTTCTCTCTCTCCTTCCTTCCTTCTTCTCTCTCTCTTTCCTTCCTTTTGTCTCTCTCTCTTTTCTTTTCTTTCTTAGAAAGAGTCACTCTGTCACCCAGGCTGAAGTGCAGTAGTGTAATCTCAGCTCACTTCAACCCCCACTTCCTGGGTTCAAGCTATTCTCCCACCTCAGCTTCCCCAGTAGCTGGCATTATAGGCACACGCCACCATGCCCAGCTACTTTTTGTATTTTTAGTAGAGACGGGTTTTCACTATGTTGGCCAAGCTGATCCCAAACTCCTGAGCTCAAGTGATCCACCCACCTTGGCCTCCCAAAGTGCTGGGATTACAGGTGCCACACCTGGCCATCTTTCTTTTTTCAATAGAGATGGGGGTCTCACCATCTTGCCCAGGCTGGTGTCAAACTCTTGGGCTGAAGTGATTCTCCAGCCTCAGCTTCTGAAAGTGATTGGATTACAAGCATGAGCCATCACCAAGCTCAGCCTCTCCTTATCTTTTGAAAGTGTGCCATCTGTTTTCTCACAAGACAGCAGCTTTGACATTTTTTCCAAGCCAAAATTATATCCGCTGTTGTACAGAACTTTAGAAACCTATTTTTTTATTTATATGTTACAGTGGATAAAACTGCTTCTTCAGAAATCCTTAAATCCACCTTCATATATAACCAGTTATTCATCCAAATACACGTCCTAATTTGCCCTTTCCCCAGTGTAACTTCCCCGTTTGTTCTTTTGATCTCTAAATCACAGTGTCTTGTTAAATAATATAAAATACCCTACTCCACAAGCCCTTGCCATGGACTAAACCTTGAAAAATCCCAACATTCAACACTTCTCAAAAGCCCAGTTGAGAAAACTGATTAGGATTAAGTGAAGTATACAAAGTTCATACGTTAATCTCTAGTAGAGTAGGACTGTCACATTAGTATATTTAGACCATATTACATCTGAAGACTTGCTTTTATTTTGGGACTATATCAAAGATTCTGATTTTATCAAGGAACAATTAAAGAAATTGCCCTACAAAATTTGATACTACATTTGCTGTAGGGACATCGTTTAGCATATTTCTCACTCTCTCCTGTGTTTAGTACTTGGGGTTGTAGTTCAGTGTCTTCTACAAAAAACTTTTTTCGCCCTTTGTTCGTAGTTCTCATTCACCAAGCAACATCCCGATTTCTTTGTTACTCTCTACACATAAAAATAATATGCTGATTAGGCCGGGCGCGGTGGCTCAAGCCTGTATTTCCCAGCACTTTGGGAGGCCGAGGCGGGTGGATCACGAGGTCAAGAGATCAAGACCATCCTAGTCAACATGATGAAACCCCGTCTCTACTAAAAATACAAAACATTAGCTGGGCATGGTG